GGCCGGGGGCAGCCCAGCGCGCGCACACACGGAGGCCGCGGCCGCTCCACCCCCTGCCCCAGGACACGAGCCGGGCTCTGCCCGCCGGCCCCGCCCGGCCCCGCCGCGGGCACCTAGAGGCCGCAAGCTCTGCGGGGCCAGCCGAGAAGACCTCCCCTCTGGGCCGTTATGCCCTACCCGGTTGCCTAGGAAATACCTCCTTCCGGCAGCTGCAGCCAATGCTGAGCGAGGGGGCCGGGCCAATGGGAGAGCGCGACGGTAGTGACGTGTGCCCGGGTGGGTAGTGCAGCGCCTGCGGGCGCGGTGGCAGCTAGTGTATGTGGGCGGTTGCAGGTCTTGGCGTACCTCGCTGGGTCGCGCGTCGCTGCCGGGCCTAAGATCTGGGCACTCGGTTTAATGACAAAAAGCAAGTGGGGAGCCGCAGGGGCGAGACAGACAGGTGCTTCGGACAGCACAGCTGCGCAGCCAGAGCTCAGTGAGGAGGCCTAGTAGCAGCCCCCCGTTGACGTTACATGCGTATTGAGTCATTTTAAAGCGATGCCAGTTTCCAAAGCACTGCCCTTTAATAACAATAACAACCTTCAAATACCTCAAAAGGTTGTTACAAAGAGGATGGAGCTGGACTGTTCTCAGTAGTGGCACATTAAAAAAAAAATGCCAATCATCTCAAGTTACAAGGGAAGTTTAGGTTAGATATTAGGAAAAACCTCCATCTTTGGAGGTTTTTAAGGCCCGGGTAGACAAAGCCTTGGCTGGGATGATCCAGCTGGGAAACAGTCCTGCTCTGGGCAGGGGGTTGGAGCAGACTTTTTGAGGTTCCTTCCAACCCTAGTTTTCTATAAACCTATGAAATAAATAAATTGACTGAACAGACTGCTTTCACATGCCCAATGTAAGGAAGTCCTAATTTTACAAGTACACTTCTGAATGTAACCTACAATATTCCAAGTCAATACAAGTTTGAGAGAGAGACTGTCAAAATGAATGATTCGTGGCAATTGCTAAGTTTACCTGTAGTTGTTCCAGTAAGTTGCTGCTCTGTAAAATCCCATTCCATTCAATTTGGTTACTGAACTGCAAGCCTGGAAAACTTCACATGTATGACCTCTAAACTCTGTTTCAGACATCTACCTGAATATGAAGGAGACCACCTGACAGAAACTTGAGCTGGTGGCAAATGTGGCAGCCTACCTGCTGTATAACAAAGTTGCTGCAAATGCAGCACACTGGTGCTGGATGTTGCCATCAACTTCCCAGAAAATTCTGAATCGAATTCAAAATCTTGGTTCTGCTCTCCCAAATTGTTAGGGCTGTGGCCCTTCAAGGCCTTATTTCCATTCCCTCCAAATAAAATCATACAAAAATCAGGAAAGGTTTAGCCAAAAGCTGCTTAACCTCAGGTAAGGTGTTTACTTTATATCCCACTTGCAAGGCATGCATGTTCTGCTGTTCAAAACACCTTTTATTTTGAAAGCAGATGCAACCTGATAAAACTTCACTTTAACTCTCTGCTATTCTACAAGTCAGAGTCCAGCACTTAAACTTCTTGTAGTTATAGAACAATAGCAAACATCTAAATTATCCACATAATTCAAAGGCTAGTCTACCATTTATTTGTGTATTTAAAATCTGTTTCTTACCTTCCAGGGAAACTCCATTCAAGGTGGTGAAGCACAGCACTAATGCATATACCTCCCCTTCTGATCTCTTTTATAAGTCACCCTGATTCATCACTCAACCTTCTAGGTGCTTCCTTCTCAAATATTTCCTTTCATAGACAAAAGACATGTCATTGTAGAGCTCTAGAAGCCTAAGGATGTTAGAGGTAGGAAGAAGATACTAAGAACTCTCCAAGCAGAACTAGACTAACAGTATCACAGTGCTTAGGGTCGGAAGGGACCTAAACAGATTGGGTCTGACCCCCTACCCCAGGCAGGAACGGGTGCCAGGGTCATATCACCCCAGCCAAATGTCTGTCCTGCCTCCTCTTGAAGACCCCCAAGGTAGGAGAGAGCACCACTGCACTTGGGAGCCCATTCCAGAGCCTGGCAGCCCTAAGTGTAAAGTAATGTCTGAACCTTCTTTCTAACACTTTGTAGCTGTTATTCCTAGTAACCCTAGGTAGTGCGTGGGGGAACAGAACCTTCTCCAATTCCCACTGGTCCCCCCCTGGTGAGTTTGTAAACAGCCACCAGATCCCCTCTCATTCTCTTATGGAGGCTGAATAGGTTCAGGCCCTTTAGCCTCTCTTTGTAGAGCCTGCCCTACTGCCCCTTGACCATGTGAGTAGCCCTCCTCTGGACTCTCTCAATGCTAGCCACATCCTTCTTGAAGTGCGGCGCACAGAACTGGATGCAGTACTCCACTGTGGCTTGACCAATGTTGCACAGAGGGGAAGGATCCCTGGACCTGCTTGTGATGCATCTGTAGATATACAAGGTGCGGTTAGCCTTACTGATTGCTTCCTTGCATTGGCGGCTCACGTTCATCTTTGAGTCAACAACGATGTCAAGATCCCTTTCTGCCACCGTGTTGATAAGAAGGGTGTTCCCCAGCCTATAGGTGTGTTGCTGGTTCCTTCTCCCTACATGCAGTACTTTGCACTTGTCTGCATTGAGTTCTATCCTATTCTTATCTGCCCACCTTTGTAATTTGTCTAGATCTAGCTGGATCCTGTTCCACCCCTCCAGCGTGCCCACCTCACCCCACAACTTGGTGTTGTCAGCAAATTTGGACAGCATGCTTTCCACACCCACATCCAGATCACTGATAAAGACATTGAACAGTACAGGCCCCAGGACCAAGCCCTGGGGGACTTCACTGCCCACATCCCTCCAGGTTGAAAATGACCTATTCACCACCACTCTGGGTGCCACCATCTAGCCAATTTGCCACCCATCTGACTGTGTAGGCATCAATGCCAGAGTCACCAAGTTTTTTTTTAAGAGAATGTGGTGGGAAACTGTCAAAGGCCTTCTTAAAGTCCAGGAAGATGACATCCACCCCAACACCCTCGTCTAGGGACTTTTTGACCTGA